GTGTTTATTTTGTGTACTACTTGATGAAGTTCAAAATCATCCGACCATCTCATTATGATGGACCTCTTTATGAACAAATTCAATCGCTAACTAAAAGTTCCAAATTACGTTTGAATTGAAGAATAAAATCTAGTTTTGAAGTGCAATTATTTTACTTATTTGACTTATTTATAGTTATTTCAATTGGATTAAAACTAACTGCTTATTAATAACGTCGAGCACAGCAATAAACATTTTATTAATACAATGCTTAAATATTGCAATTAAGCTTATGGTAATTTTTCGCAGAAAATTCGAACTAATTAAAGACAATTTATGAGCTTGTATAGTGTTAAATAGTTTTCAAAAAGTACTAACAATCAACTCATTATTATTTATAAATAAAAAGTACAGTAATTCAACGCATTTGGCTTACATAAATGGTATTAAGTTTCTAAATGTGTTTTTCGAGGTCAACATACATATACCTACCTTATGTTTTGTTTAAAAAAATATATGCAGTCATGCGTTTTAATAAATTAATTTAATAATAAGTAATATTATGTTTATGCACAAAAATGAAAAATGTTGTTTTTATATTAGGATAATAGGATGTCTCTAAACATTCGAGTAATATCTCCGTGCCTAGATCATCTTTATCTGTTATGTGTATAATAAATAATAATAATTATCATACGGAATGACGTCGGTGCTGCAGCGCGGTGCCTCATACGGGCATATGTTGTCACCCGTTAAAAAATGTATATTATTAACGAACAACCCGGTGGTCGGTCATGATTGTCACACGTGTTCATATAATATGTTCCTAAAAAAGAATCGTGAATTAAGACGTATGTTGGCCAAAGAGAGATATTCATTATATTTAATAATCAATCTCGATTACCTATCTGCTTACACCCAATATTATATTTTATTAAAATATTAAATAGTTCACGAAGGATTTCACACGAGAATTATTTGACGATCATCGTCGCGTTGAGCACTTGGGTGTAACGTCACACATGCCTACCCATAATCGGATACCCATGCGATAGGTTGCGATGGATTCCACCAAGTATTGAATTGCTTGAAGTATTTAACTAATATTTCACCGTGTAGGTACCACAAACCCGATTTCGAACCATTCGCGTGGTCATAAGATTTTGTTTTGCTCTTCGCGATCGGTGTCAGAACTATAATACATTCCTCGAGCCCTTACAAATGATTAGCTAGCTCCATTTATCGATATTTATACATTTTAGTACCTATATATATATGAACATTGTATTAACAATTATCATATTATATTTTAGTAAATGCTTATAAAACGTATGACTTATGGTAAATCGACTAGACGAAAAATCTCTAATACTAATACAATCGGTGTTGAGTGTATAATAATTATTAATGTAATTCCATTATAATATATTCCATTATATGTTGTCTGTGTTCTATATATTAGATACTTGATTACTTGGGGACAACGCCTTTATTTAAATTATTTTTATTTAAAAAAAATTAAAACACATACATAACATGATTAAATTAATCAATGATTGCTTTTGTTTAGAAATCAGCTGTTATGTGTTGCACGCGTTACATTTAAACACATAAAGAGATTATCAGAACCGTTAGCTTACAATAAATGACAGAAAATAATACTAGGGACATCGGACATGTGTTCCTTTCACGATTATAGTTTATTCATATATCTGGATATTTATATATATATGTTATATTAATTATCATAAGTTCAGGACGTGGTCGTTCCCAATTAAACTTAACGACCGTCGACCGGCAACTCAAAATGTGCGAAAACTGTTGCATTATTCATTTTCTTGATATTATTATTCCTAAAACACTTTGATTCGTATTATTTTAATATGAATTTATGAATTAATCTACTATACGACACTAAATAATATAATATAAATATACACTGACATTACTTGTCACGTTCAACAGTATATAGGTACCTGCAAAATAAATAATTAATGTGTATGATACAATATGCAATAAATTAGGTACCTAGTTTCATACTTTTTTTAGAATTTACAAATCTAAATATCGGTGTATAATAAACGTCAGTACGTTATCTAAATAATTGTATTTATATGCACATTATGAAAATTAATTATATGCCCATTTGACATTTGATCTTTCATAATCTATTCATTTTTAAATAAAAAAATAATCAACAAATATTAATTTTCCATCACTTTAAACTATAATTGTTTTTCTTATCATAATTGGCTAAATTGTTTAATCATTTCTAACAATAATTTAAAATGCATTTAAGTCAAACATTCTCGTGCATCCTGCACGATGCAATACCATAATACCATGATGATACAAAAAACAATTTGAGTGAATGATTTTACTTCAAAATTTATTTGTTCAATCGATAAACTATTTGTCCATGTTTTTAGACGTCTATATAATATCTTGTATTATGTATTTTTTTTTTAATCGTGAAATGACCCATAAACGTTTTAGTTTTAAAATTCAACAATAATTACCATTGCAAATTTCTAACTAACACTAATCAAAAATAACATAATAGAGCATACTCGCTACTATACTTAGTAAGTAAATACGAAGCATTATACTTGCAAATAAGAATAACTGAAGCATTATTGCAACTTAAGGTTAGACACCATTGCCGAATGTTATAATATATTGTTAAATAATATATCTTGTTATATAATTTTTCTTTTTTTTAGCCCATATAGAACGACAGTTACTCTTTTTTATTTTATCTTTTCAAATTTCATTTAATTAAAATACAATTTTACAATTAGAGGAATCGATTAAACTATACTATTGTGTATACTATTTTTTTGTTTAAACCGAATAATATTTAACGTTGTGTTACGAAAATGACTTTTCGACATAATATATAAGAACCACACCGACCCTAAGTTATAAATTTTAATGTGCCATGTGCACTGCGTACTTTGGTGTACGATCGCTTACAATATATTATAATAATTTATAATAATATATTAATATGAGAGCCTGATGAAACGTGTGATGTAATGAGATGACGGCAATTAACACCATACCGATCCAGATACGCATATTATTATAATTTGTATTTCCTCTGAACTGCCTGTTGTAAATGTTATTATAAAATAGTTTTCGAGTACGGCACGCGTGAGTTATGAAAACAATGACGTTTCATCGGGTCCACGAGTAGGCGCTAAAAAATTGTAGGACATTTTTACCAAAGCAGAGGCCGCCGTGAACGAATTAAATAAATAAACGCATTTGAAACCACGTTCGGTGCACGTTGTTCTTGCATTTTATACTTATCGTCCGATAGTCATAATATTTTGAATAATATAATAATATAGTAATATTATGGTATCTATAGCGTACAATCAACATAAACTGATTAGTTCTTCCTCTGTATAATATTGATATATTATTAGGTACCTACTACCTACATGAGTTGTAAATTTGTAATAAGTATACAAGAATAATAGGTACACTTTCGGCATTTATCGTGTAAGGTATATTATTTTATTAGACTTGGAGAGAAGCGCAAAAAGAATCATAACATACTCGTAGTACTCGTTGTACCCGACATTGGTTTATATTTATTTTATTATAGAAGAAGTTAAAATCGATCTAGAAATGGTCCCTAACCTGCGTATAAGCTCTAAATGTCACATGTGTGGATACATATTTAAGCAATGAACTTTAAAAAGACACATATTTATAACCATCTTAATCCTTCGTACAACATATAGGTACGTACGAGTACATTTATAACTTAAAGAGTCATAATATGATTTATATATTTCTCGCTCTTGGACGGATTTTCTGAGGTAAATTCTAATTGACATTTTAATATTTACTGGTTAATTCAACGTTGTATACATAGGAGTCTATAATTTACTCTTGTTGCAATAATTATATATATCCATCACGACGCTCGCTCATAATTTTATAGTATATAGGTTACCTACCTAGTAATAACTCAGAGTTTAGATCGAACGACTGTAATATTATACAATATAAAATACATATATCCAGGTACACTGGGTGATCCATTTAAGAGTCCACGCTCGAAAGCTAGTTAACATTTTTAAATGGCGGCAAAATTTTTAATTTTATATTCCTAATAAAAATATCCTTTGAAATATTTTGATTTTTGATACATCATAATAATTGTGTAAACAATTTTGTTTGGGAATGATATACAATCGAGTAAGTATGATACTTGAGAAATTATGAGAACGACTGAAGACACTTAAATGGATCACTCTGTATACCACAGGTCTAGAGTTTTTATAAATCATTATTCTCTCTTAATCGTTTTGCAACGCGATTACGTGAATATAAAAAATATATATTTCTTACCCGCTAGTTAGTTAAACCTACCTAAACAATTTTTTTATACTTAAAAATCCATTTTATATATTCAATATAATACGTACCTATATGAAATCAATAAGGCGCCATTTGTAGTGAAAAGTTAATTAGTTATAAGGAGAGTTCAACGAATAAAAAACTCTAAAACAACATATTAAATGTAAAAAATACCAAACAAGATTATGCAACGAAGTAAAATGTTGTGTACTAATACCGCAAAAACACGTAATATAATATAAAACAAACGTAAAGCTAATCTGTAAATAGGAACAATTGAAAAAAAAACAAATTCTTATAACTTTCGAACTCTAGTCACAAAAATATTTGGAAGCAAAATGTCGAGTTTCCACCACACACTCAGCTGATGAAAACTTTAAATGACTATAAACTTATAAGTTATAAGTTAAATAACTAATTAACAACTCTTTCGAAATCCGTATCTTAATGTAATATAGTGCTCGCTATTCTACTTCTCAGATTAAAAACTTACGTACGAAAAGTAAAAAAAACTCAACAACAATAACGATAAAAAATCGTAAAAATATAATTTTTTTTTTCTCGAAATTGTGAGTTTATGGTCACTTCGGTGGATCACCCCCCCACTTCGCATAATATTAACTGTCATTTTCGCCGTGTTTCAGCAGACGTCAGCTTGTGGAACAAGAACATGGGACAAAAGTGGCGGAAGATCCGGCGTCGGTGTTCGTCGTTCAACACGGGCACCGGCAAGGACAAATCGGCCACGGTGGACGGGCCGCTGTTGCCGCCGTCGCCGTCGTCGTCGGACGATTCGACCGCGTCGCTGTCACCGCCAATGGCGGCCGCGGCCACGGTGCAAGACATGTTGCGCGCCCGGCTGAACATGCTGAACATCAGCTACAAGCGCCGACCGCAACTGCAGCTGTTCGGCAGCGCGCGCCCGTCCAGTCTGGCCCCGGACGGGTCGTCCACGTTCTACGTACCGTCGCCGTTGCTGGGACAGGACTTGCAGGACACCGCGGGCCCGTGTTCGCTGCCCGTCGCGTTCGACCTGTCCGCCGACCACCGGCTGCTGCAGCCGTCGTCGCTGTGCCGCGTTGCCGAGACGCCGTCGTCCTGCGGTTCGTCCGGCCGCGGGACCGCCGACGACGGAGCCGGCAGCGATCGTTCGTCCGTGTCGTACAGCGACCACGGTTACAACAGCATCGTCAGCACCGCGACAGCCTGCACCGGATACGACGGCGACCGGTGAGTGCGATCGACGATAGTTTATCATCGACAAGTCTCGATATTACATTGCAGTTTGTCGATTACGTGTATATAAGTGTTAGGTGTACTGCAGAGGAGGGGGAGGGGGGCGTGAAGTTTGCTTTACAAAAATATGGTTAGCATATACTCGGATTTATGACAATAAGGCTACAGTGGGATATAGAACTGTTGGAAGCAATTGCTTCATGTCTGAAATGGGTAGATGGGTAGGTGGCAGGATCCGGTTGGGTGTATGTAAGACGACTGCACAAAAATCATGACAAAATGTTTAAATTTTAATAATTGTTGTACTTGATAATTATTAATGGTCTCCGCTGTCTATTTTGGTTCGACGAAGGGGTGCTGGTAAAAATATTTTAAACATGCAATATGCTTCAAAGCCTCCTCTACAATTTTACACCACCACTGGGAGACTACATTATATTTGAATTTTTTCTTACATAAAATATCTGCAACGAATTCGGTTATAAATACAGTGAAATCTCCCATAACTGACACCTCTAAATAGCGGAAATCTCCGAATAGCGGACGTTTTTATGGGAACGACGACATTTTCACCATTGTTATATACGAAACCCCTAAACACCAGACACTCTAAATAACGGACACTTTTATGGTAATTTAATTTTTGATTTTTTGACAATTTTTCTCTTAAACATAGAATAATCGTGGAATGCCTTAATAAATAACAATCTATCTAGGTATCTAATTTCTATTTTTTTGCTGACTATGTACAGTAGGTAGTATAGTATGGTTTATCTTGTATCCGTCCACTATCGCGACGATGAAAATATTTTTTTAGTTTATGTTCTGTGAAGTTATCTTACTCATATTTAGTTGTGTTCGTGATTTTATAACATTCTATAACGGACGTATTCTAAAACGTGTTTGTAAACGTCTGTTAGTACAATGGCTAGTAAAAAGATTAAGTCTAAAAGAAAAATTGAGATTCTTGAATTTCGATCGTGTAATACAAATATGGGTATTCGTGCTTTCGCAGAAAAGTTTAGTGTTAGCAAAACGCAAATCGCGGAAATCATAGCTAATAAAGACCTACTTTACAAAACTTGGACTGAAAATGGATTAGAGAATCGAAATCATAATTTTAAATATAACAATATATTGTATACAATTGATATTTATTCATTTATAATTACAATAATACAAATATGCATACCTACATCATTATTATACATACCTATTATATATTATATGTTGTACATAATATTATTTAGTTATTAATTTCTCTCGAGAATTTTTTTTCCCTCTGAATAGCGGATACCTCTAAATGACGGACACAATTACGGTAACCGAGAGTGTCCGTTATTTAGAGGTTTCACTGTATTGTGGTTCCGAATTCCCGATTTCCGTATCCCACCCATCCGCCGTCGTTCAATATTATTATCCGCGAAACGAGCTAAAATACTTACATATTATATAATTCATTTTTCTCTCGATAAAAATATCTGACACAAACGACAAACGTATAGGAGCCGATTATGTGTACCATACGCAGACATTCAGCGTATGTTGTAATTTAACTGTTAAGGCACTGTTTAAATTTCGAATCTGCGTTGTATGCATCCTGCAGCATATCTTTGTAGCTCGAATACGCATTCTATACCAAATTATATGAAATCTATTAACAAATGTAAATGTTTCGAGAAAAAAATGCATTAATTATTTATCTAAACGGTTTTGAATACTTGAACTTAAAAAAAATGGTATCTCCGGAAATATCGTGGGTTAGTATATTTTTATTTCGACATTGTATAAAATTATTAAACGCGTTTCAAGTTTTAGTTTCACAAACGTTTAGATTGTTTCGTCCATTACAGACATTTTAATCGACTTTTTTTTATATTTTGATCGTTTTTTCTTTTTTTCCATCCAAAGCATCACAACATTATAATATTGTGTGTTTTCGTCTAAATCGTTGTCGTCTGTTGACGCATAAGAGTCACTGTTTGACTATGTGCAATGTGAGTGAACTTTGAGTGGCTATTACTAGAGAAAACAGGTTTATGATAACCACCGAGTGATTCATACATAAATTAAAAAACACTTTGAACAATTAACCGTACCTAAATGTGTCCAGTATGTAAAGTAGATTAGAAATTTTATTATTGTATCGGTTAAAACACTATTTAAAAACAAAAATCATTAGTTATATAAACACACAGATAAAATTAATTGTACCCGGAGCTGTGGTTGGGTATGCAGCTGTAGTAGTATCATACATAGGAGAAACTCTCAAAAATATCTAACAGAACCCTCTCCCCACATAACAAAAAAAAAAAAAAAAAATATGGATAGTAATAATTAGAGTGCAAATTTCCAAAAAAACAAAAATATACTCTAGACTTTATTACACACAAAAAAATAAACAACAACAATATAGTATAGTGTTTTGCTCGTGGATATGTTTAATATTATTATAACGAACGTCTCGAACAAAATGATAGAATTGATAGATATGAATAGCTCGCATTATACACGAAAACCTTGTAGTATACCCACCTATACCTTCATTTCCACGACTATAAATCTAAGCTGCAACTTGAGTACAAAATATTCTACTTGTTTAAGTAATTGCACGGTGTCTCAAAAATATGTATGCATAAGCATCATAAACATAAAAGAGAACACCTGGGGTAACCAACAAGTTAAATAAATATCTCTAGAACTGCCACATACACACACACACACACACACGTATATACTATGCGTCTTCTCCATTCGCTCTCTCACCTTCTCTCTCTCTCACCTTCTCTCTCTCTCTCTCTCTCTCTCTCTCTCACTCTCTCACTATCACCCCTACAGACAACCCTCCTACTACAACTGCTGTAATGGAGGGACATCGCGGAGAAATGCCAAGTATCAAAAAGCACCACGATGAATTATGAATAGAGTGAACATCGACGCAGCAGTCTTTCGTAATAAAAGTCAAAAAATAAATTCCATACGAATTGATCGGCGTGTGCAATTACACAAAAAAGAGTGTAAAAAAAAGGGTAATAAATAACGAATTGTCGTTACACGCTGTGCACTACAGCGGTCACAGTTTGATTCCCCTCCCCCCTGTAAAATGTTTACTTTATCTTAATCGGAAGATTACGACTGAGATAATAATACTGTGGGAAAAACTATGGCTTCAGGTATATGTGTACCCACAGCTAGGTTGACGCATAAATACATATTTTAGACCGACGTTCTAATAAAAGCTAAGGTAATTAGTAATAATTACCAAAAGAGTGTGCCTATTCAATGTTGTATAGTAGGTATCCAGTCTCGTTGTACATGATGATAATATTATTGGCAAAAAAAAATTGTGAGTTACATAATATTAAATCCTGTGTATGTTGAGGGCAAAAAAATGTATAAAATATGTCAGCAATTTCATTCTGCTCGTGTGTACTTTATTTACTTAATTTTTTTTAATCGACACGCCGTTTTTTTTCTATTGTGTATTCTTTTCTCGTTAATGAACAATAATACTGTGTATTATAATAATGTGCGCGTTATCGTATACGAACCAGACTGAGAAAAATACTCACAACATTAGGAATCGTGTAGTATAGAATATAGATATTATCATATTTATATAATTAGGGGGAAAAGAAACCGTTTTGTTCGCAAGCCGGTCCACAGTAATACGAATATTTTGTATTTCTTATTTTCACGCGTGCCTACATAAAATGTACACCTACCCACACAATAATCGAAACTCACAAGACTCATAGCCATCGGTGCTTCAAATCTGATACCTACATCAAACTCCCCGCACATCATACCATTCCGGCATTATTCGTTCGGGAGACTTGTGTTACGACTTGTTACCCAAAAAGAAACAGTTTTGTTCTTGAGCCGGACCACAGTAATACGAATATTTTTTATTTTTTATTTACACGAGTATATCTTTTTATAAATTGTATATTTACCCACACAATAATCGAAACTCACAAGACTCATAGCTTCAAATCCGATACACCAAACTCTCTGCACATCATACCATTCCGGCATTATTCGTTCGGGATACTTGTGTTACGACTTGTTATCCACTTGACCGTAATCAAATACACATTTCACACGTTCAAAATTAGAACGACCGCGATTTCCGCATGGTTGACGGCCCTATCTGACTGACTGTATTGGGTCCGAAAACATTGTGCACCGTAATGGATTCTTTGCATTACAACATCAATGTGAGTGTGTGTGCGTGTTTTCCAAGTACGTCCCGACATGTATTACGCGTATACTATTTTGTGGTCGTGCGATTTGTTTATAACTTATTGAATTACATACTGTTCACGTGCAAGGCCACTGTTGACCACGAAAAACAATAGAGGAAATCGTTTTTAATAGTGATAATAGCCAACGACATTGTTGCGACGATGTCCGTCAAATGTCCCCGAAACGACGATCGATAAGATCGAGAAAAAAAAACCTATTCCCAGACCTAAACGCGCGACGTTGTTTTTCTTTCTCGCTCGTTCTGTAACTTTTATTATATCGAATGACATACGCATATATTATAATAATAACAATAATTGTTTGAATTCATGAAAAAATATTAAACTCGCCGTACCGAATCCGACGTGTGTAGCTGGCTATTATGACCGTTTTACGCACCCTAAGCATCGTAAAAAAAGGCAAATCTTGTATAGACGTGCCGCACGCCCCGTGGTTTTCACTTTTGTATAATATTATACCCATGCACCGATATAATAGTGTGTACGAAAATCTCCAGCGCCGGCGAATTATTTCCATAATAAGGGTCGAGAAGTTTTTATGGTTTCATTTCCACGAAAATCACCACGATTCGATTCCACCCTATACAAAAAAAACTCCTTATTATACATTGTATGCGATGTTATCGGCATCAGCCAAACACAGTACCCACATCACGTGTGCAGACGCCCGTTTTGTTAACAAGACATAAATTGATATGTTATATTATTATGTGCTAGCAGCAAACCGAACATTCCTTTGTATTTCGTTCGGCGAAATTGACGGATAACAATAATTACGGGTCCCTAATTTTTATGGCCCGTGTTTGTTATATTTTTTGAACAGTTATTTCAGTTCATTTAATCATATTATAATATTATAGGTAGTTTTTAGATGCATTTTTATCGTTTAAATGGTGGAATTTCGATTTAAATATCGAAAAAAAAGTACCGTGTGTGTATATTATAATGGTACACTACTACCTATCAAAAAGTCCTAGGAAAAAAGTCCGTGGTTAAAAAATCCGAGGCATAAAAAGTCCGTGGGGAAAAAGTCCGGTGCTTATAATTAGATAAAAAGAAAAATATGATGTGACGCACAATCAAACTTCCAACTAGTAATTAATATAAAATATAAATTGTAACTAAATGATTTATCTGACGAAATTAATAAATAATCTTGTAGGTATCTATATCAGCAAGATATTTGCAAAATATATAGGATAAAATAAATATATTGTTTTAAATATTGTTGTACATACATATATACCGGAATTTTTTAGTGAAGATAATTAATTAGATAGTTAATTCTTAATTAAGTTGAAAAATCATTATAATATATCATGTATATAATGGTAATGACTAATGATACTAGGTATATAAGTAACTAAAATCATTGAATTTTTTTTTTAAATTACTTATTTTCAATATTGTTACATATGTACTGGACTTTTTTATCCTGGAGTTTTAGGCTTAGGACTTTTCTACTTCGGACTTTTTACGTCTCGGACTTTTTTTCCTAGGACTTTTTTATCACGGATTTTTTTGGCGCGATTCGTATACTATAATATTATTATGCTTCGTCGAGTCATTTATGTACGAGTGACTTACACGTTTCGACGACGTACCCATCTCTCCTCCCCCCTTAGTTATAACTCACTAGTAAATGTGTACATCGTTATGTACTCGCATCGTAAAAACGGACGCTAAAACAACGAGAACTCACTACAACTACCCAGTCACAAAACGCAATATTGAGTTGTTCGATTTCGAAACGGTATTGGGCTGTGGCGTTCACACGTGGACAATTTATTTATTCGGCACAACATCTACACGTAGCCCCGGCGTGTCGATTAATTATAATATTAAAAATTAAACTCACACGTCGTACCACAATATTATATATATAATAGTACCTTCCACTTAGACGTTATTATACTTTATGACACAAGCCAACAAATTATTGTCGTTATTATTATTTTTATCTGACAAATCCTTGTAACCTGTCACGTGATCGTTTCCAGACTCAGCTGTAGACCTCATTCGTTCGTCGTCAGACGGTCCGTAAATAACGCGGCGCGCCGACCAACGCGTTGCAGTGGCGACGACACCGACGACGGTTACAACGACGACGACGCCGACGCCGACGACGACGACGACTATTACAATTGCAGTCTGCTGTTGCAGAACAAGCCGAAGATGCGGTCGTGCCGGAGGTGGTCGCAAGCCGACTCGCTGGCGCTGGACACGCCGCTGACGGCCAAAGCGTTCGTGATCGGCGGCGCCGTCTCCTCGTCCTCGCCCGGCCACGGCGCCTGTCGTCCTCGTTTCGGCGGCCCGTCGTCACTGCAGCAGGCCTACACGCCGCCGCCGCCGCCGCAGCAACAGTTACCATCCTTACAGCAACAGTTACCGCCCGTGCAGCAACAGTTACCGCCCCTGCAGCAACTGTTGCCGCCGCGATCGTCGCCGCCACCGCTGCCACCGCCACTGATGCACAAACCGCCGCCGCCGCTGCCGCCGCCGCCGCCACCGCCATCAGAGAGGACCGTCGTCGACCTTCCGGCCATACCGGAATCGTCGCAGTGGGACGAGCAACGTTCACGCCACCGCCGACGGACGCCGGAAAAGCAGCAGGCCGACAGGCTGGAAAGGAACGGTTCGACGAGGATCAGCGGCAGGAACCCGTATCGCACGTTCAACGGGAGGGCCGCGTCGCCGGCTGGCGCCACTGTCCCCGGTTCCGGGGGCGGCGGAAACGGCAGTGGCGTCGTCCCGGCGGGCCATTGTCATCGCGACAATCTGCAGGTAAGATTTTTATTCTCTGAAGTGTCGTCTCGTCAGCTAATCCCTTTCGACGCGTCCCTTCTGCAGAAATGTATACGTCTCTATAATAATATAATCTGTTTACCTCTACTTTTATAAACATCGCGTTTTACACCTTAGTCCCTTTTTGATTTTTGGAGGGATCCTTAGTCCTTCTTTTGGTCCATATATTGACATTCGGACATATTATAACAACCTGTTTGGAACACGTCTTACACGATTATTAACACTTGAATAATGTGCGAAGTTTCTCTTTTTCGTTCAACTGTAAAAGGTGGGGGGAATCCACTGGAAACGCTAAAAGATTATAATATTATTGGTGTAGCTGTGGACGAGTTTTTGACTTGTCGTCGTCGATCGATCGACGAAACGCTGCGTACAATATATAAACTTTTAGTGCAATTTTATACGTCCCCATTATTTACCACACACACACACACACACATGTGTACTACACGTATATAATATACAGGGTGTCCCGTGAGAATATACCCATTACCCGTAGAGGGGGACCAGCCGCCCGGACAAAATACGATTTTTGTTGTTTTACTTATAAACTAAAAAAATGATTAAATTTATAAAAATAAAATGTTGAATGGTCAAAATGTTCAGAAACATAAACTCTACGAAATGGATCTTCAGTCGTTTCAAAATGTTTCATTAATTTTTTAATTTTTTTACCAAAAAAATCAGTTGAATTAAAAAATGAACTATGCGTAGTCTTTGTCTCTGTGAGTCTAATTTAGAGAAACAGATTTATGATATATACTTATTTTCTCGGGAGCAGTGGGTAAATCCTCTCGGGACACCCCGTATACCGTACCAGGACGACGTACCAGGAAAAACGTATACCGTTACTAATATATACAATTATATTATATCGCACCCGTATAACACATGTACCTATTTCGTTATATAGGTAGGTAGCATTATCACTATGTATACCTATGTAGTATGTATACGGCTTTATGAGTTTAAAGTCCTTTTTACGATACAGCAAATTCGCTCGTTTACTGTCACACAATTATTAGACGAATAAGGCGTTTTTGTGTTTCCGCGCCAAATAAACGCGACATGATGTATTTTACACGTGACGAGAAATTCACACGAAACCTCATCCATAGATAGACAGTCGTCTTCCCGGCCGTACCTTCAAAACAACAATAATATAATGTACGACAGCGCGACTCTATATTATAATTTGTGACGACGGATGCGGTCGCTAACTGATTTTATAATTTATAGGTGCTCGTATACACTCTTGTTGTTTTTCCATACGTATTATTTTAATACTTTGTGTTCGCTTATACTGCAGTATGTACTGCACGGTTCAAGGTCTTTTGCAGTACACACTTTTGTGTACTACAGGTTACTGGATTTGATTTGACATTTTAAAAGATTATCATGTACATAGTAGGCTAGAAAGAGCTTACGGAAATAAAAGCCCATGCCAGTGCCATACAATTGTACCCACTATTTTATGTTTTTAAAAATATTTCGTTGATTATAATTCGAAAAAACATAATACTAAATAGTACATAGTATAAATAACAGATAATAATAATAACTATAATGACCTAGTAGCTGATGTTACTGAGATGAATAATTTAAAAAAATAGTATGTCCATAAGTGTCTGTTGTATTAAACTTGAGCAACAAACTAATATTATAGGTACTACCATCTATAATATACCACCTAATTCTTATATAAATATATAATATACCTAAGACTGATGTTTTTTTACTGTAGGTTATGTCATTAACTACCTAACGATGACTCAATATAAGACAGTTTATAATTATAAATTATAACACAATATATTATGTATACATGCGTTCATATTTATAATTAAATTGTTTTTAGTGGATTTTTTTGGTGCTTTTTCCGTGATACCAAATACGTAGGTGGGTATAAGTTTATTGAAAAATGATCATAATATGTTTAACGACAGTATACTTCCGACGATAACACGTAATAATAATAATATTGTTAGTTTTACGATCTGTTGATGTTTGTTTATAAATAATATACGGTGTGTAAAACTTTCGAAATCTCAAGATCAGTACCTATAATTGCCACATTATTATTATATGAAGATACAAAAACACATGATTTTATAAGCGAACGTTAGGTATTCTAAGCAATTCAAATATTCGTTTAAAGTAGCTAGGTATTTACAATAATCGATGGTTCTTAATTTCAAATAAATGATGTGTCATAAAAATAAAATGAGTGTCCATTAGGTACTATATTTCGATGTGCCTACGACAGTCATCAATTCCAATTTATTCTTTTATAGGTTTATTTCAATAAAAAAAATTTAATCAACTACTAACAATACCAACACAAATTGCTGGAGGGTAAATAAGCTCGCTATATCATCGATGTTGGTGCGATTTGTTTAAGGATAATTAATGGACAATTAAGACGTCTAATGTTCTCTTCAAATGCATTGACGGCCATGATAAACTTGTCCTATGCAGTGGGTACCGTTTTGATAGTTAATAATAATTGTAGTATTCCATTCGAACACAGTTGGTACATATTTTATAATGTTAGGAACTCTATACATTTAAAACCATTGACTACTATGTTGAAATGTTTAGACAATACTTATTTTTAATAGCAATCAATGTAGTAAGACGTAAGTTTAACCTTTTTATCGATTCTTAGAACAACATTAAATTAAAACAATAACCATTTATTTGATCTTAAATGTACCACTCATTACTTGATTGAGCTCAGAGTAAATCGAAAACAAAGAAAAAATTAAAATCTTCAATAACTTTTAAAAGAAAATGTTTCGAGTGCTGTACACCTGAACACTCTTGAGTGTGCTTTTATCAAGCAAGCTGACTAGTTCCCTTTATTTATATAAACTTACTTTGAAGTTTCGTCAATGGCCGGGTTTTCTCCGCTTGTCTACTCACGCTATGTAAATTAATAAATCATATTATTAGTATACTTATTAATTGTTATATAAAATGTTTCTTTCCCTCGATCAAACATATCATAACAGATGTCTCTCCTATGAAACAGATAAACGGGAAGCAGGAGAACCAGACATCCTCTCTGAAACCCTTGATCCAGACTACATAAATAACACAATGACATTTATAATTAAGACTAATTAGATTAATTATTCGTAACTACTACACTAATATTAATGTACTTTAAGATAATATAATGAAAACCTAAAAAATTGTTGCAGCCAACGGTCTATTAGACGCCGATGATATAAATTTTAAAAAATGTTTCTAGGTATATAGATTGTAAATGTTTTTTAAACAAACTTCAATATTAATCAACAATAGTAGGTATAATATTATACTTTACCTTATAGAATAGGCTTTACAAGTATATCTTTCAGTTTAATCAATTATTTATTCGTATTCTTCTTTTAAAAGTCCAACAAAGTTAACAAATCAAAAAAGCATTGTTTATTATAATAGATTTGGATTTTTATTCGAAATAAATGAAGATCCTATAAGAATCCTAGGTTATTATTACGAGTTATAATAATAAAATATAAATATATGCATATATATCATGATAAATTACCACATATAGGTATAGTATATGAATTATATGCGATAATAACTAATCACAATATGCTCTTCATTTTTTTTTTATTAAAAATATTATTACAATCTATGCATATAATAAGTACAATAAGTAATTTTGGTTGAGTACATAATAACAATAATTAACAGATTGGGAGAGCACTCAGTGATGCCACCCGACTCTTAAATATTAAATACAATATGTGTAAAAACTTTTAGGACAACAACCTAACTTCTACATTGTCATAATTTATTCAGATAACATTTGATATGCATATTGTATCTAAATTGTATACGATATGTATTTTTAATATTTAGTTCTATGGGTATTATATTGCATTTAAATATATTTGAACGAAAATAAAATATAATATACAAGTCACGTATTCTTGTGGTTATTTTATTACGTTTTGTTAAATTATTGATATTCATTGGTTATGAATAGTTATGATGAATATATTCATATTATTATACATTTCTTAGATGACAAATCGTGATGTCAATGTTACAATGTGTGATCTAAATCGTTACCTATAGAAACGTGGTTTGAAAATATAAATACATTGTTATTATTCTCGTACTAGGTGATGTCTTTATTTCAATAATAATCGATTTTTACCATTATATTCTGTAAATACTCACATATTGAACAGCATTGTTGTATACCTGTATGTTAATCAAAATATTTTTTGATAATTTGTTATCGATTTCCATTCAGACGACATTGATAAAATCAAAAACAAATTATGATATTATAATATCTAAAAGGTACTTCATTTTTCAAGTACCTTTCTATTTATTTTTCGAATGTAAAAGTTATATTTAAATATTAACTTTTTCTAATCACATTGTAAACAAATAATATTATTAACTCTTATACTTTTTAACAGGTGCTGTCAATAGATAGAGTCCAAAAATTATTTTAAATATATGACAATACATTTCAAAAAACAAAACACTGTTCAATTATACTTGTCACGTATAAATTCTTGTAGAAACTTCAAACAGACAACAAATTTTAACAGTTATAATATTTATCTTTTGTGTACTTGATTAATTACCTCTTAACAATACTGTACTGTATGACCCAAAATGTACGTGCAATATATTTGTGTCATATATCGATTTAAACTTGAAAATTATAAAAATAAATTGCATATATTCATGTTTTAAAGAACGGTAACATTAAGATGAAAAAAAATAATTTTATGTTTAGTATTTATTGGTCAGATATACGTTATAGGCTAAATGATTTGAATTTTGATTTATTTTACTTGCTCGTTGCATAATCGCAATACTCTCCTAATATGGAATAATTTAATATTTTACATATAAGTAAAAAAAACAATAATATGTCTTTACGCTTTAGAATGTATAAAAGAGTAGTTGGAAGTTCGTATTTATTCGCTAAATTATAATATTATACGATAAATTCGCATAGTTTTTATTATGATAATCGTCTCCACTTTATATGGTAATTTGAGTATTATTGATACTACACATGTAAAAATAATCGGTTTAAAACATTATTTATCCAAGATACATGTAAAAGTACAAAAACTTGGCGATTAACATTTCACTGTAGACACAAATTTGATATTTATTGTTCCTCACATACATGATACATCATGAATAATTTCCACTCGAAGAGTACAAATCCGTAGGTTCTGTCTTTTATTCGTATCATTCGCACATAAACAAAAATACAATGTAATATTTTTTATCGGCGTGATATCGCGTGAACATTAATGTATAATAATATTTATTGTGAAATATTGTATAATATTATACACTATAACAATAAATAAGCAAGTAAATAAATAATGACAATATATATTATATTCTTTACCTAGTAACATCCTCCGTGTAAAACAAAACAAATGTAATTACTCATACCTACTGTCCCTATATGCCAACAGTCACAAGTACAATTCATAATGTGCTCAATGCTGACAGGCTGCAGCATTGAGAGCATTATATAATGTGTATAATATAGTTCAGCGTGCGACACATAAGGTGTAAGACACATTTTAATTCGACAAATAATTAGGTTAGCATTACTTTATAATAAATACATATATAAGTGTGTGTGTGTGTGTGTGTGTGCGTGACAGTAATAACAACAATAATAATAAATATACACCCACTGGATTCGCGAGTACATAATATTATAACCTTCGCGGTCCTCTCGTCCTCGATTTCGTTCGCGTAATCCACTACTACCATATTATTGTCTATGCCTATTGAAACGATTTAAAACGCTTTTCAACACCTCTATGATATAAAACATCGCATAATTTTATGAGATTGTCCACGTAATAATAATAATAATAATAATAATATGACCGACTGTGCCTGTGGTGTGTTATAATAATATTTATTACCTATACACTGTACGCCTGTACGGCACGATTTCCGTTTCCGGCGACGAAAACCGTCGCACGTCGCTATTATGTGTTATATTCGTTATACGAATTAATACAATACGATATCGCTTTGTTTGAAAATACAATAATATGTGCGCGACAATTGCAGTACCTGTATATACGTATTATAATAGACTTAATTAATAACCCGTGTATCGTGTCCACAGGGCGGAAAAAACGACGGCAATTGTTTCTACACGCTGCCGCGGGGGGGCGGCAAGGATGCGTGTTTCACGATAATGACGGTCAAGTTCCAAAAAGGCCCGGGCCACAAGTGCCTGGGCTTCAGCATCGTAGGCGGCACGGACTCGCCGAAAGGTACGATGGGCATCTATGTGAAAACCATTTTTCCGAACGGACAAGCCGCCGACAAGGAGACGTTGAAAGAAGGTACAATAATATTTTAATATATATTTACGATACGCCAGAGATTTATCAGACGGCAATGAGGTTGTTATGCCGAATCATCTATATAATTTATTGTGTTAAGGAGTGGCGTTGTTTTAAAAGGGTAACAATCCCGAAATATGTCGAAATAACTCCTATACTGTTATTATCATTATAAAATACTATTATAATATGTTCTATTATTCTAGAACATATAAAATATACACCCAGTGGAGTAATTACAACTTTTTCTGGGGGGGGGGGATATTAGAAAATGAAACCCCCACCCAGAAAATAATTAAAATGAAAAACTAGAAATTCATATGAAAAAGTCAAAAAGTAATCCTAATTATTGTAAGTTAAACCTGCAGTCACGCCAACGACCGGTCAAGCTATTTAAGTTAACCCGCCGAGTCACCCTCCCCACCACCACCACCACCACCACCGCCATTCACCACCAAATGAGGCCACTGATATCGTACATATTGAATCGGTGATTCAGAAGGGTTTTGCAAGATGTGTTTGTGGGACTCCCCTCTCGCATCTGTTTTTGCTGATGAAACACTGTTTGTACTCATATAACTCGTAAGTACGTGTGTGTGTTGGACGCTTTGAAACGTATAAATTACGATATTATTAATGTAAGAACGAATACGCGATAAAGGGAACCGTAAACCCATCGGCAATTATTACCTTCCTATACACATAACATAATATTATATTATATCAGATCATATATAAACATAATACAGATATATATATATATTAGTTCGGTGGGGTCAAGGTAAGCAATATATGTATATATAGAGGAGGTATAGGTACGAGTGTGAGCTACTCCTGTGTATACATCGTCCACCAACCTCGAAGACATGGGCTTGGCGAACGCAAAACTTTGACGTCAAACCCACCTCGGGATTATGTTATATGGTACATAGCAAATAAATGTAGGTATGTGCGATATTATACTATTATAGCGACCTACCTATAATCCGCCTACCTACTGCAACTGTTATCAAAGCCAATATCGTTTTCGGCACAGAACTTTGTCTTAAGTATTATATTTGCGATTATAATAATTCGTCGGAAATACGTATTCTTCGTCCGTCATTTATAGCTTTGCGCAGGATTAGCGGGGCGTAGGCACTATAGTAACGTGCTTTTCGATTCAATGTATATTATTATCTATACGGTGCTCCCATATATCATAATCGCAATTTCAAGGACTGATATAAAATCGCAAACAAACGCACACGCACACACGACACAAACGCTCATAATATTACCTGACACGTCATATTGTGCCATAAGCGTATTATATAGTGTCGATTTTTGAGTTTTTTACGATTACATATGATTATACTGTCTGCCGACATTAAACACTGTAAAACAATTATTATTAACTGCAGTACAATAAAACTGTCAAAAGGATAAAACGCCACACCGAATGTTATACTACGCGCGTGTGTGTGATGCACATATTTGTTTTGTTCGGTATTAATTTTGTACTACCCGCGGCGAAAAATAAAAATTGTCTTATTCTGCATAATATTATACGTTGCAAGTACCTATACGATATTCCGTCAAACTCAATTATGCCGTATAATATTATATTATATGTTATAACTATTGATTCAGCTTATTTATTTTTACAGTACGCTTTCGAGATTTCGAGCTTTTATGATTATTAAGTACTTTCGAAAGAAAAAACGCGTGCGTCTTTCGTACACATATACGTGTGTTTACTTTTAATTACTTCATTTTTTTTCAAACGCATTTTACAAAATATACTAATATATCCTTTTACATCAGGAATTGTTCATTTTTGTAGACATAGACACATTATTATAAAAATGAATATGTTATATTCGGTACACTGAACATAAAACCCGAGTACCCATTCCTATTACACCTATATATGTATACATTATAGCGATATTTCGTATGTATAGTAATTATAAAACCGGTAATATCGTAATTTTTTCCATCGGATCTCATAATAAAAAATTTTTTATTACTCAATAGCAATACACATAGCACTCCTCCATAGTACAGCATAATATATTGCTCCATGCAGTATATAGTATACATATTAAAATGTTGTGGGCTTCGGAGATTAGTCGATCGATTGACATATTGATACAAGCACGAAAACCCCTATAAACCGTGGTATCTCGTTAAGACGTTAAATGGTAATAAAATTTGAACATTTTATTACGAATAGGCACACGGAACATATAGCTAAGACTGGTGCCTAGTGTTACGTCAACGGTCAGTTTTCCAACGATACCGTGCTAAGTAATTGTAAATACCTCGTGAGCATCCAGAGACGGCATTTGTATCCGTCGTGGAATCCGTAATTCAATTACTCTGTGTCTCTGTATATATATATATATATATATATATATAATATTGTGTATTATATAAGTGTACTTCAGTTTGAGTCTTCTCGCTGACACGCAAAGATATCTGCAAATAATATAAATAAATAAATAACGTCTATATAATACGATGATGCAATATACATAATATAATAATGGCAAAGGGCTGTGTGTGATATACACAATATAGACTATAATATATACAGTATACCTATAACATAATGCTGGATGCAACGGACATATTATAAAACAATTGAAACGTCATATCATCGTATCTACGAGTGGATTATATAGATATACAGAATATCATAAGGGTAAATACTATTTGTACGCAATCTGTACAGAATAGCTTATCAGTATGCTCACTCAAACGTTGTCCAACTATGCTTTTATTATTCAAGTTCTGATTTGTACTTAGTAGAATAATTAAATATGTACGATATTTAAAAATATTAGACTTATAAGCTGTTTAGGAATGTTCTATGGTGGACAGTGGTACAATATTTTTCACATTTCATGAAATATTCAGTAGAGACAAAAAAAAACCCAATATTTCGGAAAAAAAAACTGAAGCAAAAAAATTGAAAAATTCACATTACACAGAAATTACAGTGATATGGTAAGATACTGAAATTTTACAAAATTACATGTCATACGATGTTGTCAAGTCCTTGGACATGTGCTCTTTTTGAATTTAGTGATTCGTGTATAATATGTAATATATAGGGTATATTGACGAGGAGGTAGTAGATCAAATTACATGGGTGGGTCGCCGCAGAAATAGATGCACGCTATATTATAGTATCAAAAAAAAAAAAATGCGTCTGTACCACGGTTATCGAGTATAGATAACCGTGATGTACGGTACAAATTATACTATATGATATTATGAACGCATCTGTCTGTAACACAATAATATTATATCACTAACGAAGACTAAACGATTATAATACAATAAATATATTTTAATCGTACAATAAAATAATGTAGCACATTTATTCCCAAACAATATTACAACACTCGTGCATCGGGTTCATTGCGCCTTTGCCGAGCTGGCTGGCACGTCCGGCTCCGTCCAGAAAACCGTACATTATGAGTCATCCGTCGTCGCATATTTTACAGGTATAATACGCGCGCAGAGTATAATATTATAGGCAGTCGGCCACAGGTATTGTACTAATGTACTACATATTATATTATGTATGTATACGTGCTGTGTACAATGTTGAATTGTTGAATGTATATTGTATGGGTCCGAACGGACACACACACCGTGCACGAGCCCACTGCAGCACCGTATAATCTATATTAGAATATTATACACACACAACAATAAGATATGCGAGCATAAATAATTCATACGGTCACACGAGCGCGTTTTTTTCCTCGTATAATTACAATAATATTGTATACGTTATACGTATGAGTTCGTGATGGGATTGTGCTGCAGTAAACGTCATAAACCCCTAATATTATTGTATTATTATTATTATATAAATACAATGCACTTATATATGTAGGTATTATTAACGGAGGAGTCCACCGTCGCAGCGATTTCCCTTTTTCCCGAAAACCAACTAACGGGGTAAAATGAGATGAAAATTAAAAACAGTATTTCCACGTGTCGCGTATTACATAATTACTCACATATAGGCCATATTGGTATATGCTGCAGCACGAGTCCTATTTCCCCGGAAATACAATTTAATAATATATGATCGGGACGTACGCGAAAACTGCAGTTGCATTCGCCACGCTCGCGATTTAGAAAAAATAAATACATACGTTTATTGCTTACGATCTATTTTTTAGAGTCTTTGATATAGTTTATACAATATTATATCTACACTGGATTTCCTTAGCACCGCCACCCCCGTTCAATAATAATAAACATTCCACGAGTTTCAGGGTGTAGACCGTAGTATACGGGGTGCCCATCATAATGGATGGAAGTGACTTTAGAAAACGATAAATCGTCGTGGCGAGCTCACCCAAAACCGCGGGAGAAAAAGTCAAACGGGGTTGTTTCCCGTTCAAATGGCAAAGCTCACCCCCGCCGCGGCTAGCCGCTGTTGAACATTAAACCAAGACGATATATTATATTGCCGTGTAGTACGCGCATATATAATATTATTATTATTATTATTATACTTTACGACGAGCGTATACCACGTATGTTGTATCTGAAGCCCGATAACAGCTCCGGCGACGCATTTATTATTCTCGACTTTATTTTTTCCGCGAATCAGTTAAACGAAGACGTGAAAAATACACTTAAATAACGCGGTGGTGGTAATAATATGTACCTACAAAATGTTTTTCCGCCCATGACAAACTCTGCCTATTTTTTAACATTATGCAACACATAGTATGACATGCCACGCCGCCGGAGAATTATAATAATTATTTTCGACTACACACGAATTACGGAGAAACTCACGCGCGTACCCTACTTATTGGAAAATAAGCCGAATCATAGGGTAGTTTTTATTTTCATCGATTCACCCTGTCAAATCCGCATCCGGCTGACCTACCCGCACCACCCTGCGCGGTCATGCAAGTCTTAACGCAAAAATCGTCGTCCGTCGCCTGTGGCCAGTGATCGGCGATTTATTTCCGATCATACCGAAAACCGGAAGCACGTACACACGTGATAATAAATAATAATGGCAACGCCCCTGACAACATATTATAATATCGAGCAGTAATGAGTAATTATTATGATAATGACGACAATAATAATATGGTAGGTAGGTGTACTGCAGCGCGGTATGGCAATTAAAACGCACGAACAGCTACCGCTGACTGGCGATCGCAAAATGTATGGGTAGGACAAATTAGGAGGCGCAGCACACTTTGAATTACTGCGATATTATAATATAATATATTATTATTATATTATTACCTACTATATTGTACGCATGTAGATGTGTACATGGTACGCACTCGGTCGGTCGCGTAATCCGTCGGCGGCGGTCCCGTTACCGGACATTATTCGTATGATTCGATCGGTCTAATCCACACTCGTTAAATTAACTACCCGTGCGCGGGCACGATGTAACAGTAATAATAACGACGATTATAACGTAGAACTACGTCGAAACCGTGTGCTCGCGATATTATTCGCGAATTATGTACGCCCGGTAAACTGCAGCTATGCAACCGAACGGTCGCGGTGCAATGCATAATATCATTGTACAACAATATTATGGTACGGGCAGGGTGGGATAAATCGGCCGTGACGGGGTTGCGATTTCGACGAGGGGTTCGGGATTTTCCGTCCGGTTTCGGATCACTCTTTCGAGACCGTATACGCAAATCGAAATGGAACGAAATATTACGCGAAACCAAGATCGTTTTCGTACCCGTTTCCGAGGCAACAGTATATTAAACAATAATATAATTTTTAAACATCGGATTCTTGCTGATATCTTTCGATTTTTCGACATAGATAATAATACTCTGTTTTTGGGTTGGGTGCGACTTTATTTTGTTTCTGAACGATTTTCACCAGGTCGATTTCATGATGTGTTGTTTATGACCTAGCAACGCAAATCAACAATAAAAAAAAATTTTACTTAATTTATAACTGTATATGTAGCATGGTATTAAAGGTATTAACATAAGTAATACGCTTTTGAGCTGGATACAAGATGTTTTATTTCCGACATATTGTTCTTAAAGTATTCGTTGTCAAGGTTACTTTTATTAACAAAAACATATTTATGATTCACAGATCAAGAAAAATATAGAATAGTATGCTACGCATTCAATTTTTCTTTTAATTACGTAGTCTTATAATAGGTCTTTATAGACTACCTGTAGATTTATTCTATCTTGACGATCATTCTAGGTTACTGAACATAATATTGTACATTTTGAAAGTTAACCTATTTACCGTATTCCTAGTACAGTAGGTCCGTAAATACATTACATCGACAAATGTCGATGTATGTTTCGTTAAATAAACGAAATCGAATTTACTACTCACCCATGACTTATATGTATACACTTGTACACTTCAAAAGTTCAAACTTCTCGCACTTCTGCACCCATGTTTAATGAGACACCAAATCTATTGTATTATACAAACACACATAATAGAAGTGTTTTAGAAAGATGTTGCAAATCTTTCTAAAAATTAGTTTTGAGTCGATTCAAATTCACTGGTCTAGCTGTTGTTGACTGAGTGTCAGACATTTAAGTCCTAAACACAAACATTACAATACCTATTGTATTGATATACTATTATTTATTACGTATATTAAAATTACAAAACGGTTTTTGATAATACCTATTATAATGTTTTAGGTGACGAGATATTGGCCGTCAACAACAAACCGTTGCACGGGTTAAGTCATCGTGAAGCGATAGCTGTGTTCAAAGAGATCAAACTGGGAGAAATGGCGTTGCACATCGGTAGGAGGATTCCGAAAAGAACTCGGGAATCGGTCAAGTCGATGCGAAGTCCTTGAAAAGTAAGCACGAAGTTTCTTGTCATCGTTTAAAAAAATATTGTGGGTGTCCCCCGAGGAGGGCAAGACGAGGCACCTGCTCCCCGTGGAATTTTAAATCTGTTTGCTTTCTGACCAAACATATTATATATTTATATACTATGTGTATTGTCCATTTTATATTAACTTTCAATCCCCCTCTTGAAAAAATGTCCACCCATGTTGGTACCCATGTACCTATACTTATATACAGCATGATATAACTATTTGCTGGTATCTACACGATTTTTTTTTTGTATGATTACAGGAAGAATATTTATCGAGATTCTCATTTCAATGGATGGTGTTATTATTATTACTATTTACTATATCATTAAGTTTTGTACCTGTACCTATAATTTTATTCCGAGTTTTATGTAATGTTTCGATCGTTTAACCAATAATTATTATTAATTTCTCATTTTTACATAATAATATACAGGTTGGCCACCGCGATTTCTCGTTTTTCAACACTAACTTTAAGTCTATGAATATGTATAGTACTATAGTGTATACATAATATATTGTATGTACCTATGTGAAAAAAGAGTAAATAACGGTAGGTAACCCACCTTATATGTATTTAATATATGATATATTATTACTGTATGTCTGTATACATATATATTATGTAATAACTGTTACCAGTGTGTAAATAAAATATTTACAAACATTTGATATTGAGTCGATATATTGTGCATAATACATTTTCAAAGCGTCTACGCCTGTCTGGACAGTGGACACGATTTGCAACGTAGTACATATAAATAATACATTCTGAAATAGTAAAATATTATAGTAATTAAAATACTATAATCAGAGCAACACGCCGAATTGGCCTCGATCCTAGGTTTAAGGCCGCCGCTAAGTCATCGTTCTTCGACGATCACCTCGATATATTATAATTTAATTATTTTATGACGTCTCCAAGTCAATAATCAGTAAAGTACTATATAATATAAAGTATAATATTATACTAATTAGAAATCGTATAATTATTGTAATAGTTGTTTACTAGAACAGTAATGAATATAGTATATAAATGCATAATTTATTAGTTTACACTAATATTCTTGCCATCGCAATTTATATGACATTATGTTATACGTAGGTAATGCGCAAGCATATTATACTGCAGGCCCAATAAATAGTATTTAAGTAGGCGGATGTTAGATAAATTTTCTAACATCTTAAGATATCAAAATTGGATTAAAAAAAAAATTCACATTATTACAATTGCATAAGGTTACATTATTGTTACTGTTAAAAAATTATTATTTTGTACATTTTGCTAGGCGTGACTCGTTGGTTGAGCGCAGTCACTACTACCGCGCTGTGGTCACAACCATCGTCCGGCGTCACTAGCTACCGAATGGCACTATTTGGGTTTTTAGTGACGAATCCTCGCCCCATACATGAAAATTAAATCGAATATCGCCTTTCTTGGGAGTAAATTCTATGGGATACTTTACCTAATATTGGGAGCCAATATTCAATAGTTTATTCATTTTAGAGGGTTGGGAAGACTACCGGTAGGACTGTAGGAGACCTCCCGATTATTGATTTACACCGATGATAGCAGATTGTAGCCGATTGTAGCGATATCCATATGCCTATGATGAATTTTGAATATATAACTGTATAAGTGTATAACATTTTAAACTTTTTATTGCGTAAATGTGTGATAATAGCTATACTTATACAGTATAATACTGGTTCAATTGTTCTCATTTTCGCTACCTATTCGAGAGGACCAACATATGAGAGCATTTGGTATAGTGCGTCTGTGCGGTTAGCTTTTAATTCAGTTAGGGTATTTGTATAGGTAAATGTAGCTGGTGGATTGGGTGGATTTTTGTGACCAATTTTACAGTAGTTTATTATATAGCAGTGTTTCGTGCAGAGTAATGTTTCTGTAACAATAAATAGGCAAAACTTCAATATTAAAACAATCAAATGTTAAGGAGCGGATTGAGTGGAAGAAATTAAAACGTGAATAACGTACCTGCCCAATGCGCAGTGCCCATGGTGGTATTGACAGTACCTATTCAAATAGTATATTAGTGTATTTATAATTATAATGTACATGCAGACATTCATTGAAAAAAACGCATGGCGTCCGACCTAATATGGAATTAATAATATTATTGTGCTCGATAGACGGTAACCATCAGTGCACGTTTGGACACAACTCTTCTGTTTTACCGGTAACTCATTAATTATCATTACGAATCGTAATAATGGCAATGTTATTATAAGTACTATTTAAACCGTACCTGCAAAGAGCATACGATCGTGCCGCGGCGCCTTAGATATGCAACTACGAGTGCTTACGCTACTTTCCCGGCGACGACTGCTACGAGCAGCCAAGCCCAAATTATAAATAAAATTGGTACTAACGGACTCTGCATCGCTTTTTTCGAAATCTTCCCTTGATATAACGACACCGAATCGGAGGAGCAGTAGTCTTAAACTTAATATACCTACCTACCTAAATATTTAGCAATTTTAAAACATTATTTTTTCAATCCGCAGATGGGTTTACTTCAGTCTTCTCTATCCATAGCAACTTCATTCAATTCTCTGCGCAAGATCCTTTGCCAATATCCAACATAATTTTCTTTATATGATTACCTAGCCTAGGTAAGGTCTTCCTCTTCCCGATTTTCTTTCAATAATAAATGTTACCTACCTATGAATTTTTCCTATCCATTTCTTACTTCTTTCTTCTCTCCACAATCGTCGTCTGGATTGACTTATTTTCTTTTATCCTATATGACTTTATAAATTTGACACTAGATCCGTCCAGGAGATTTTTAACGCTCGTTATGCTATTAAATATTATAATTTGGTTTACGGAATGTAAAAATAAAATATTATATTACGTCGTCAACTGCAGAATCCACAACTGAAGTACCAAATTGTGTAATCCCCGAGTATTTTTACTCTCGTCGCCGTAAATACACGCTCCACCCCCCACTTTATATTCATATACGATTTTATTATGTTAAGGGTGGTATTAACTTTTAATCTCGAAAGGCAGCTCACTATACAGCTGTATACATGCTCAGTAGGTAGTACCTATACACAATATTATGTACCTATGCTGTTGCATTCTTCCCTCTCTATAAATCGTTACGGTCTTACGGAGATTATTATTTAAATACATTTTTGTATAGAGCAAGCGAGGCAGTCATCACTGCCTAAATTCCGACAAATACTCCATATTATGTATACGAGGTTTCGATGGTTGTGTATACACATAAACACGATTTTAATTATTATTTCGAAATGGTTTAGATTTAAAAAATATTATAATATATTTATTCCTCATTTTGTCTTTGAAACATATTCTCAACAGAACAATTAATGTAGGTATTGACTATTTCCTACTGGTTTTATGAGTTTTTTTCGTTATATTTTTCTGTATAATATCATGACCTTTAGGACCGCCAATAAAAAAGCTCCAATCTTTATCTTTTAGGGTAATAAGTTGACAAATATTAATAAATTGTAATAAACCGAATGGATTAAATTCTTTATACAGTCAACATGTATAGATTTTTTTTAATCAGCATACTTAATAGCGATACTGTTCGTCCAGAAAATATTTAAAACTAAGTTTACACTACTTGTATTTTGTCGTACAGCTTGTTACAGTAAAATGTTTTCTATCAAAACACAATTTCAAAATAACAATATTAAAATTAAAAACAGCATGAGGTACATATTTTACTTTTGAAACAATTTTCATTTTTATCAAGATGAAAAATTTACACCCCACTGAATGTAAGCCTGGAATTTGCCAAGAGAATCTAATAACTAATAAGGAATAAAAAGTAGAAGATTTTATGATTTTTCTGTTTAAAAAAAAAACTTTATTTTATTGTAAAATTTCAACAAAATCTAAATTTAATAATATTATTCCAAGGATAAATTCAAACGAACACAACACAAAGGTAAATTTGTAAATTAAATATAGTCATCCAATGACCCCTATTTTTAATTTGTAAATAAAAATTATTTAATATCAAACAAATTAATATTATTTATAAACAAGTTTAGAACAAAATTGTTATTAGATAAACATAAAAAATGTACCTACCTGCTAAAAAATATAAATGGTGATCTTTTATATATTAAATTTTTGGAAATATATAATACAGATATTGATATTACTTAATGAAAAATAGATAGAGATCACGTATTTTCAATATGAAAATTTGATAAATTTGTTTTGTATAGTAAAACTGTAAAGTGGATTCTATAGTAGTTTTAACTAAAAAAGTAATTTCTAATTAGCTTTAGGAAATGATCAAGGTATTTTTATAAGTAGATACATATAAAAAAAATATATATTAAATAAAATTAAGCTAAAGAATCCTTAATTTTAATTGTACATAGGTTTTTATTTTATTAATTTTAGTCTTTAGACACTTTTTCACGTTTTTGTTTCAATATTAATTCATACTTGCTCTTGCTAACCCACCACAACATGAATGGTCCTACCACGGCTGGCAGGGTCATTATTGCAAATACAAACCAATCAAGCTGAAACAGTAAAAACAAATATTAATTACAGAACATAGGCATATTATTTAACTAGAATTATTTAACCTAATTATTAATAAAATTCACAAAAATAGTTTAAAAAAATACTTTTTAAATCCTATTAAAAATCTAACAGTTGTTTTTATAATATTTAAATCTTAATATCTCAAAGAAAGATTAAAATTGTTTTAAAAAAGTAGTTTTGGACCTGTAGTTTTCATACTTTTAAGTTTTAATTAGAATTTTTAACTAGACAAAAAAAAATAACACTAATATAATATATTTTACTTACCAAATGAGGAGAGAATTTCTTGTCGTATTCAGCGTAACTGATGATGTATCCTTCACCAGGTTCGCTGCTTATTGCAAATTGTGGCTCTTCAGCACCTTCTGATGATTTGTATTGCACAACTGCAGCTGTGAAGTTGAATCGGCCATACGTAAGAGGTTTGATGACGACGGCATGAGTAACATTTGCGCCAGATGGAATTCTGTTAAAACGAATATTCAAATTTCCTTTGACTGTGGCAAATGCTTCATCAGGGAATCCTGAGTCTTGTAATACAACATTTGTCGCTGGCACACTTCCCACATTGTAAATGGTATACTATATTCAAATGAATCAGAAATTATAACTTAACAAAAGTCAAAAATCAATTAAATTGTATGTGTACATACTTTAACTAAGATGTCAGAGTCTTGAACTAGTAATTTGTTAAGAACTTGTTTAGATACTAATAACCGGGCTTGTTGACTGTCAGCATTTTGGCTGGTTACGGTTAAAGATGTGCAAATTAGTGCTACAATTACAAATGACTTTAATGAATACATCCTGCAAATAAAAATTTTAATCATTAGTTTTTAAAATAAAATTATTATTTTAAAACAGAACGTTTTAACCAAGTTATTATTTTTAAAATAAAATTATTATTTTAGTATCAAAATATCCAATACTGTAAAATAAGTGTATAAAAAAATCATAAAACTAACCTAACTAAACACTAAAATACAATTAAGTTTGTTAATGATAATAAATCATTTTACTTTAAATAATGTTAAGATTTATGTAATTCATCAATTTAATTTTAAGATAACTTCTATTGGTACTCCAAACAACTATTTTGTTAATAATATCATTATATACACATTAAACATACAACTTAACACATTTTTTAAGTTTGAGTTAATACTATTATATTTTGTATACACATTTACTGTATAAGTATAGGTTGTATGATTAGAGGATTAGAAGGCTATATTTTAATGAATTAAAAAAAATATATACACAAAATTATTTTTTGTTAATGGAATTCAGATGTGTATTTCAATATAATAAATTATAACAAAGCTACAGAGTATATCAAACTTATATAAATAACTTAAATCTATTCGATAGAAGATATTTTTGATCATCATTTAGTATAATATATAAATTAATTATTTTACATAATATACCTATTTAACAACTAATTTATAATAATTATAGACAAAGCAAAAGAAAAAAGTTGAAGCATAGAGTTAGGTGACTGAAGAAAAGTTCAAACATATTTAATCACCATTTAAGTAAATATATTACACCTTAAGATTTATTATAAACATGTATGTAATAATAAGCGGTCAAGAAAACAATAAATAAAATAGGTATAATACATGAAAAAAAATCTGTACCAATTAATATATTATTACTCATTTTGTCATTTTGAAATAATCAAATTAACTTAATAATACTGTAGAGTAAACTAGATAATCATTATTGTATTTTAACCTATCACTATATTTAAATTTTAATACAACCAATTTCAGAAAATAATTTCAAGATAAAAATAAAATAGTCAAAAACCAATAAGGTTTTATTCTGGAATAGTTTCACACTTTCCAGTAAAATTTAGAATCTCCTCGCATATTTTTTTGTACATCCAAGAGTCACCCTTAAGTCGCTTTCGTTTAATGGCAACAACTGGCACATTTTCTTTGTTCATTGAAGGCACCAAACAAATTTCTAGCTCAAAAGATAATTTCAATTTTTCTTTATCAGCTACATCACTCCTTAATTTACCCCTAAGCACAAAATCTTTTCTTGAGCAAATAACATTTTTCATTGCCAATGCTTTCTCCAATTGATTCATCACCTTTTCCGGATCCTTGCAAACTGTAGTTGATATATTACATAAATCTTTTTTGATATTCAAAATTTCAGGTTGTTTTTTTGTTGGAGTTGTAATACGACGTCTAGGTGTCAATGCTTTCCTGACACGGTCTAATCCTGAGAATATTTTACCAGCAGGACTACTTAAATTTGATGAACATTGAGGTTGTGCTTGTGGAGTTGCAACATCAGTATTTCTTTTGATTTTAGCAGGTATAGTTGGTGTCACTTCATCTATTTTTCTTCGAACAGCACGTCCAATTACTCTTCTGTTTTCTTGGCCAGGAGTGTGGAGAGCGACTGGCCTTCTTATAATAAGTTCTGGGTGTTGACTAGGTACTTCTTTTTTCTTCAAAACTACTGGGGAACCATTTTTTTTTTTATTTAATAACAACAAATAAGTAGCAGTTTCACTATCATACTTCCACTTTGAAAGACGGGACCAAATAATTTCTTTATCAATATCACAATGTTGACTAATAGCTTCAAGACATTCTATATCCTTACATCGATCAACGTCATTTGTTTTGGTGGACGGTGGACATCCAAATCCTAGTCTTACCCACGGGTCATTAATTAACTCACTGATTCGAATACGCTTTAATGGGTCAACACAGAGCATACGTCTCAACAAACGTTTACTACCTGACGACAGCCAACCTGGCTCTATGTATTTTCCACGTAATATTTTCTTGAAAAGTTCATCAATATTGTCACTTTCAAATGGTAAACATCCACACAACAATGCATATAATATTACGCCCATGCTCCAGATATCTACTTCTGAACCGTGGTACTTGACTCCTTGAATGAGTTCAGGTGCAGCATAAGTGGGCGATCCACATGAGGTCAACAGCAAACTATCCATGCCACCTTGCGGTTTAGCGCACAGACCAAAATCGATTATTTTCAAATTCTGTTCCCTGTCCAAAAGCACATTCTCTGGCTTGAGATCACGGTGTGCATAACCATTGTCATGCAAGTACGATACAGCGGATATGATCTGCCTGAAGAACATGCGCGACTCCATTTCGCTTAGACGGCTTTTCTCAACAATGTGATCGAACAACTCACCACCCGAACAGTACTCCATGACAACATAGCAGTGCGACTCGGTCTCAATCACCTGGTAAAGCTTGCAAATGTTGGGATGAGACAGATTCTTTAGAGCGCTGATCTCGAGCTTGACGCGCGGCAGGTCTTTGCCCAGCTTGGTCTTGTCCATGATCTTGATGGCCACCTTCTCGCCCGTCAAAGTGTGCGTGGCCAATTTGACTTTGCCGAAGCCACCGGTGCCGATGGTCCGGTCCAACTCGTAGCCGCAACTGCGCAGCGTCGGGTACCTCGACATGACGCCCGCGTGACGGATGGGTAACCCACGAACAACGTACTTACTACAAACACACCGACAAACATACGCTTTTCACGTCAAGTCATTCACGACACGGATGCAAACTCGACGACAACCAAAGACAAGACAACTTACGGCAATACGGCGGTTAGGCAAGCAAAAACGACACGGGGGCAGTAGGCACCTAACTCTATCCTGGGTGGTTAATACGTGAATAAAACGACGACTTACCTATGATGCTGTTATTGTACACGTTAGTTACGGTATATTATATCTTATGATATATATTATGAAAAAATATAAAACGGAACACGGGACGAGTATGAAACTCGTTGGCAGTCGCGAATCTCGGTGTCTAGTAACGTAAGTGTTAACGGTGCACGGCCGTAATCTGGGACGACGGAGTGACGGATTTTTGCTTTCGTTGCCTAACCGCTTTGTTGTTAACTTTTCAAACCGTTCACGTCACCGGACCGCGGACACGTAAACAAAAATGTCCGTTATGACACTGCGCCACTGTGGTAGCGGTGGCGTCGTCGTCGGCACCTCGACGAGTGATAACAATACGTTCCTAGTGCGTGTACGATGAACGGGGTGAACTAATATGTCGTTTTTGGCCAAAAATTTCGAGTCCATCAACTGTTTTTGTCAAATTCCACTAGACAGGTGGTCCGGAAAACTTTTAGAATTTCCATCAGAGATTTTCATTTTTTAGTGCATATATCAACCGTCATCATTCATCAGTACTGTATACCGCGGGTAGATGGCGCTTGATGAATGAATATTTACATCGTAACTAACCCGTCTCCCACCACCACGACTGAGCTCCGTCGATTCCGTCGAGTGACTACAACTCTGCTTCCGCACAAGGACGTTGGGTAGCAGGTAGCATCGTCCGGGCGAAACAGGAATTTAAATTCATCCAAAACCATAATACGCTGTTGAAAGGCAACCATTTTTAAGGGGTCGGATTTAGGCAACATTCTACATCTTCGAGAGTGATGTGTGACTGCATGACGTGGCTGATCATTACTAAGCTTTATGTAATTAAAGATAAATTACTGCTAAGATTCTTGGAAATGTGTAACGTAGGTACATACGCTCACTCACGTGTCACTATATTTTGCTATCTAAAAAGTTTCAACAAGAAAGACCCAAAAAACGGAAAAAAATTCACCCAGTATAGTGGCGAGTACCAAAAACCCGATTTTTATTTTGAAAACAGAAATCGGAAAAAAATCCACGGAAACTTCCCCGACACTAGGTAAAAAAATCTTCAGACTACAATATTACTCACAATCATATGAAAATTATAGGACAAATATTTTTTAAATGCTAATAAGAGTAACTACCATATTATTAATATTTAGTAACAGATATATAATTATAGTATAGGTATACTTACATCATTCAAAAATGGAAAATCGAGTATAAGTATTAAAGAAATGTTAAATTGAATACAATTTAACTTACTTTCATAATTATATTATAATTATCAAACATAAACAGTAATGATATTTTATTTTATATTGTATTTAATTCTGTAAAAATTAAATCCCTGAAGTGAAATATTACGTTTCCTAAATGTTTTGACGATGATGAAACAGACAACTATTAAACAATAATAATTATTATTTGTTCTATAGAAGTATATTTTACAAATTTTACTTTACAGATACAGTTTTTAAAAGATTATAACAGATAGTCTTATTTGTGTAATGTGTAGACAAAATAACACGGAAGTATCAATTAAAAATAAAAATATTTCGTATGATCGATAAGTTGAATAATTCAAATAATAATTATCAAACAATAGGTTAGGTTAGGTTAAGTACCTATTCTTTTAAAAGAACCATTAACATAGATAATATTATGTTGTTTCAAATCGTAATATGAAACAAAATAATATTATTGTTAATTGTTTTAATGATGAAACGTATGCCTATACTATAAGTATATATTTTTAATTAAATATTAATAATTTGGTAATTACACTAATTAGCGTTTAAATAATATTTGTTTAATCATTTCCATGCCATTGTAAGTATACCTATTATTGTAGTCAGGGGAATTTTTTTCCTAAGGTAAGGGATTTTTTTTCAGTGTTGTTCATCAGGGTTTTTTCTGTTTTTATTCTGCAATATAAATTCTTTGAAAACATATTTGAATTCCTCATTATCATTTCTAGATTATGAAGGAAATGGATTTTCGATTTTTCGTATTGTCTAATTAGCTTTACAGTAGGTACAAAATACATTTTCATTTTTTTCTTTTACTAAAATTTACTTTTACTTTAGTGTTGGATACTAAAAAAAAAAAATTAATTTCCTATAAAACACAACACAAACAACAAG